GTAGAAGTCGAACAGTCGCTGATTCCATTAGATCTACGTCTAAAATGAAAGATAAATTTATTTTCTGGCAGTCATTTGTAACCAGAACGATTCGATCCAATATGGTCGAAAGGCAAAACCGCAAACAAAATGTTATCTCGGTTACACAATTTATTCGATTGCGATGCGCGGTTCTCTGTTAGTTTATTAAAATCCTCGAAAGGAGTAAATCAGTATTTATTCGTAATTTTAAACGCAATTTTAGTTACAAATCTAAAATTCTCGAATTTAGAAAAGGCGTCCATTCTTCTCAAAGAGACCTAGTTTAACTGATTAGTCATTGGACACACTGATTGGACATTTTACAGATTAATGTGTGTCCAATCATGTTGATATGAAAAATAAATCTTATTTTTACGTGATGATTCCCCCCACGAGAGATAGCACATGTTTTTTTAAACACCCTGTATAGAGAAATGCCCGTTTCCTTATGTTAAAACTAAAAAGCAAACAGTATGTAAGCCATTTCCGATGCCATATTTTATATTTTGGTAGAAGTCGAACAGTCGCTGGTTCTATTAGATCTACGTCTAAAATGGAAGATAAATTTATTTTCTGGCAGTCGCTTGTAACCAGAACGAATCGATCCAATATGGTCGAACGGCAAAACCGCAAAGAAAATATTATCTCGGTTACATAATTTATTTGATTGTAATTCATCGTTCTCCTATAGTTTATTAAAACCTGTAAAAGAAGTAAATCAACATTGATTTATAATTTTAAACAAAGTTTTAGATATAAATCTAGTTGCTTTTGTCAGTTTATTATATTAGTTTTAAAATGTTTGTAGAATTGAAGTTATATTGATATTCCACAGAGCGATCAACCATGATTAGCCGGTAATGCTGTTAGAGGATTTTAGGATTAGTGATTGATATAGATGCTTAAACAACTTATCGGTCACACCATTTTAGTAAAATACGTCAATTTGTTTTTTGGCTTTTTTAGCTTTATGAAACTTTACATGTTTTAAGTTGTTATTTGTGGAATCGGCATAAAAAAATTGTGTGTGCACTATGTGCGTATATTTGAAGTGAACCTTCTTACTTCCGTCTGTCTGCCTGTCCATCTGTTCGTCTGAGAATTCAATTCGAGTACCTCTATCAACGTACCGAGTTTGGTTCCAATCGACCCATAATTAAGAAAAATTCTGATGATTCCATCCATTTAGAGGCATCGGTTCGAAACTTCGAGGGTGTCTTCCAGTAGCCCGTCCCCAATCATTCCGAAATCGACCCACATTTTTCTTCAATATCAAATCCTTAGTCCTACCCTGATGGAGATATAAACGAAATGTCGTATCCAATTTTACAGGGTAGGACCCTGTGCACCGTCGCTTACATAGCCTACCCACCAAATTTGGTCGCGATCAGTCAACAACAAATTTCATTTAAATCGCACTACGAGTATATTTTGATTTCATTTATTGATGATGGATTTTTGTAGTACACGAAACGTCGTCAAAATATCATGAAAGGTTACGTTCTACATGAGTTTCATCCCCCTAGCTCACATAAGGCCCGAGTTACGACGCTACAAGAAAAAAAACAACGTTACCACTTTTCCTTCGCATCTTGTGTGTCACGGCCGTCCTGGTATAACCAAATAACACCGTTAAAAATATAAATATTTGATTCTGGTTCTTCAAAATAAATGTATTTTATTCTCAACGATTTCTTCAACATGTTTTCCAACGGACGTATTTGTTTTATTTTCAATTTAAGTTTAAAATAGATGCAGTTTCAACATTATAAAAGATGTACCAACATGCAAATGAAAATAATTTCAAATGTCTGCAGGTATGAAATTTTATAACATATATGAATTCTTTGCCTACATTTGAGTACATTCATATTTATACTGTAGCTTGAGCCTGATAAATGATCTCCGGTAGACCTTAGAAATGTGAAACGGAATACATATTATAATTATAAAGCAATATTACCATACAATAGTAAACTGCATACGATTATTATTTATGCTTCGATGAATATCAAAAAAGCTTCTGTAAAAAATTATATAGAGTGTTTCAAAAAACATGTGCCATCTCTCTTGGAAAGATTCCTCACATAAAAATAAGATTAATTTTTCATATCATAATAGGTTCGATTCCGCTTTGTTTCGTAGCTACAGGGTCTTAATGTCCTAATATTTTTTCGATTTATTACAATTTTCTTCCAAGTACTTTTACCGTTTTGAATGAAATTTTGAGGGTAGAAGTTACTATAAATGCAACATATTTTAAAGCTAAGAAAGTGTCGACAAATTCACCAGTGACGTGGATATGGGTTATCACTGGAATAATTTTCTAAAAAAAAGCATGTACGCCACTGACTTTTTTCTCCTGTTAGCGAAATAGTGCATGCAGTTTAATGCCAATTGAAAGTCTCTTTAATATTTTGTCGATTTCGCCTCCTTGATGAGACAAACGCAATTTTATTAATTTGTCTTGACCCGAGTCTAATAGCAACCTTTTAAAAAATTAAATATCGCTTAACTTGCGACAGTTTTAAATAAGTACTCATTGATTCCTCATCAAAAAAATGAAAAAGTTCCTGTAAACATTGGTATGGATATGCATAGTTTTTAGAGTTACAAGATGTTAAAATTTTTTAAAATTAGTTTTATTGTAATTATTTTAAATGCCATTATTTTTCTATTTGAAATTGCTCTAGGTTGACTAATAGTAATAATATTTAATAAGAAATTAAGTAAAATATATAATTTATTAATTTTATTTTTAGTTTTAATTGTGATTAATAAATTGCGTTTATCTCATCAAGGCGCATCAAATTCAACAAAATATCAAAAGATAACTTTTTATTGGCATTAAACGACCTACAAAATTTCGATTAATTTACATTTTAACGCTTTTTCAGCATTAAAATATGTAGCACTTATAGTAACTTTTACCCTCAAGATTTCATTCGAATCACTAAGATTACTTGGAAAAAATTATAATAAGTCGAAAGATTATTAAGATTTAAACACCCTCTATCGAAAGATGCGTACAACTTATTTTAGATAGAACTATCGGAAACAAGAAATAGCCATCTGATAGTCAAGCAGCGTTAAAAGCGATCAACTCAGTATCAATCAATTCGAAATTCGTCAAAGAATGCATAGAGAAGTCGAATAAATTAGGCAAAGAAATGTCCTCCTACTACCCTGGGTGCCTGCTCATCAAGGGATAGAAGGCAATGAAAAGCAAATAATCTAGCTAGGAAAGGAGCGCCGAAAGGAGCCACTAACTGGACCAGAAAAAAAAACGTTCAGTTTTCCAAACCAGAACCAACTGAAAGCGGAACTCAAGAACTTGAAGATTCCATCCGCAACCTGGAATGGAATTTTGCAACGGTCTAAGACACTCGAAAGTTTGAGGGCTTAAGATCAAGAAAATCACAGATCTTCCTGGGTTTAAGTAAGAACAATCTTCGGATTGTCACAGGGTTTTTAACAGGACACTGTCTCCTCAATGAACACCTCAGTAGATTGAAATTAAGAAGAAACGGCAAATGCACTTGTGGGGAAGATGGGGAACACCAGTACCCTCATCACTGAGTGCGCCGACGACAACCATTCGTACCATGAATTTTGGTACGACTGATATTGAGATGGAGAACTACCCTCTATAAAACCGTCCCAGATACTGGCTTTATTCAAAGCCCTGGGACTGTATGATGAGTTATGACCCAAGAAAGGGGAACACAAAATAGATTTGTAAGGTCGCAGTGATTAACCCCTCCTCCCACTCATTCTAATTCTAATTTAACACCCTCTAGCTACGAAACAAAGCAGAATCGGACCTATGTTGATATAAAAATAAATCTTATTTTTACTTGAGGAATCTCCCCACCAGAAAAGGCACATGTTTTTGAAACACACCGTATAGCATATTTACTAAAAACTACATAATTCAAAGTTTGCTCAGTTATACCGGGTGCGTCTCAAAAGTGACTCACCCCTATAACTTTCTTTTATTTTTTCAGTTAAAACGAGATTTGGTATTATTTATATTATCAATACCAAATAATACTTTTAAATATGATATAGTTAAAAAATTATTTATAAAAAATATATTAATATGATATAAATTAGGATTAGATTGATGCATTCAATTGTTTTCGGTCTACTACAACTTTTAACAAACAACTTTTTTATTTTTAACAAAATTTTTTTTTTATATATTTTTTTTACTACTTTCGATAAAAAATAACACTTGAATAAAATGAAATATAATATGTCAACTTTGACATTTTCGCTTATTATGGTTTATTTGAAATTATAACATACGATTCATAACGAAAATTTGACTCCAAAATACTAAGTGTGTGGTATCAAATTATTCGCAAAATGCATTTTTTCGAATATGCTAATGAGCCACCCTCGTTCCATTTGAAAAATTGAGATATGATTAAAATTGCCAATTTGGGAATCTTTTAACCGGCCAGGACAAGACACTAAAAACCTTAAACGATCAAAGATATTTTTCCGCTAGCTTCTTTGATTAAGAATTAGTGCTTTTTACATACTCATGGCGCTCTAGATTGAAATTTAAAATACGTTTTTTTATTAAGCGAAATGTCAAAATTGACATATATGTCATTATATAGGTATGTCATTATATTAAATTTCATTATTAAAATATTAAAGTAACAAAATACCGGAATTGACATTTAAAATCAAAAGTTGTAGTAATTTCTGGTGAAACAGAAAGTGACTAACAACAATTGAATACGTCAATCAACCCAATTTATGTCATATACTAACATACCAAATTTTTTATCTGAAAAACAAAAAGTTATAGCAGGAGCCACTTGAGGCGCACCCGGTAGAGTATACATATTAAGTTTAAATTGTTGCTTGTCATTTAAATTCAAAATTAAAGCCATCTAGTATTATAATAACATATTTACTAAAGAAATGTGCATCATAACCAATTATATTATGTTGTTTTACAGAACGAAACTGGACGAAGAAAAAAAGTATTCTGTCGAGCTACAAACAAAAAAACAATTCCTTAGCTACTCCAGAAAATGTTCAGGTAATAAAAATTTATGAGCTTTAAAAAGTATTACTGTTATGCATTTTCAATTTCAGTCCGTCCTGGTGCTTCCTAGTTTAAAACCGGGAGACCTAACCAATTTACTAAATGAAATTGAAGATCATTACTATGGACGCGACGAATGTTCTATGCAGGAGTACGAAGTTATGAAGGTAAGTTACGTTTCTGGGTTTTATCTTTCTAGCGAATATCGTAGTTTAGTTAGAAATAGTTTTTTTTTAACTTTTTACTCAAATTCTTACTCAATTTTTTTAAAACTTACTTAAAAATTAAAAAAAATAAATATAAACAGTCAGACAAAGCAGTATGGGGAGACAAGGCATCAGAGCTACCTCAAACGCGCTGTTAAAAAAAATCATCACTCAAAGTGATTTCTGAAAACAGAAACTTTGCAAGGTAATAGTGAAAACAATATATTTATTAATAAAAACAGTCAGACTCGTCGATAATAGAACCTCATCAGTCAGCAGCTGATGGAAGTGAGAATAGTGACAGCTTACATTGTATTCGAATGCTATTTACAAATTTTCAGCCTTCAGAAAACAGTTTGCAGGTATTAATTAAAATTACACCTATGTGCGCTTCTCAGCGCCAGGTAGAGATGGGGAAGTTTAGAACGAATTGTTTTATTGAACTATTCCCGACCTCGGAACGAACGGAACCAGTTCCCGGTTTCTCAAAGGGTCCTCAGAAAAGGTCCTGAGGACCGATATATAATAATATGCAACAGCGGTGTATCGGCCAGCGCGATCGTAACTCGATGCTAGACGGGAGGGGGGAGTACCAGCCGTATGTGATCGGTCCCGGACCGAGAGGAACTAGAGGAACTAAATAAAAGGCTAGTTTACGTACGGATCGGCCAGCGCAATCGTAGCCCAATGCTGGGTGGGGAGTGCCAGTTGTATGTTACCGGTCCCGGACCCTCGGAACGAACGAAACCAGTTCCCGGTTTCTCAAAGAGTCCTCAGAAAAGGTCCTGAGGACTGATATATAATAATATGCAACAGCGGTGTATCGGCCAGCGCGATCGTAGCTCGATGCTAGACGGGAGGGGGGAGGCCAGCCGTATGCCGTATATTATCAGATCCGGACCTAAAGGAAAAAGGAACTAGAGGAACTAAATAAAAGGCTAGTTTACGTACGGATAGACAAGCGCAATCGTAGCCCAATGCTGGGTGGGGAGTGCCAGTGGTATGTTACCGGTCCCGGACCCTCGGAACGAACGGAACCAGTTCCCGGTTTCTCAAAGGGCCCTCAGGACCTTTTCTGAACAGCGGTGTATCGGCCAGCGCGATCGTAACTCGATGCTAGACGGGAGGGGGGAGTGACAGCCGTATGCCGTATGTCGTATGTTATCGGATCAGGACCTAGAGGAACTAAATAAAAGGCTAGTTTACGTACGTATCGACAAGCGCAATCGTAGCCCAATGCTGGGTGGGGAGTGCCAGTGGTATGTTACCGGTCCCGGACCGAAAGGACTGACAGGAACTAGTTAAAAGACTAGTTCACGGACTTGTTCTTTATTTTATGTGAATGTTTCACTTTAGGTCTCTAAGATTAAGAAATATCTTATAAAACGAAGTAGATTTTAGACAAAAACAAAAAGCTTGAAGTGAGGAGAAATGTAACTTTTCGTAAAATAAGTGAGAAAACTTTACCTTCATACTTATTATTTAGCTTCACCTACACATATGCCAATATTAAATATCTTATTATTTGCTCCGATTGATTTGTGATATAGTTTTTTAAACTCTGATTTGAGTTTCTTTTTTAATTTTTTGTTTTTATCTGCAATAAAACTTATCTATATGTTTTTAACATACGCAATTATTACACTTCTCGTTATATTTCGTACATTATACAAATACAAAAATTATACAGATCCTACTGTGAATAGTTCTGACATATAACGAAACCTATGAGCAAGTAACGGGGTTGTCAATGTTAGTCGGGAACTAATGTGAACTAAAGACCTAGTTCAAGGAATTATTCCTCTTGAGGAACTAAAACTATGGAACTAGAATTCCTACCTCTAGCGCCAGGTGTCCCGGAACTGGAACTGCTGACTGTACCTTGTGGCTGTTTAACACTAAAATGCAATCGATTTTAAAAATATGAGCCTTCAGAAAACTCTTGCATGTTTTTGCACCCTTCTCTCCGACTATAAAGCTAAATATAAATTTCGAAAATTGATGATATAAAATTTTAAAGCTAATACCGAAATTCTATAAGCTCTAAAATTAAATATTAAGTGCCTTACGACCTCACCTGAACATTAAGTTATTACTGTATCGAGTTTGAGGTCGCGGAGTGTAACACAAAAGAGAATTTAAGCCATTAATTAAATATCATTTAACGCGACTACCTCGACTTTAACTTGTTATCGCATAATTTAAACTTTATGACAACGATCGTAATTTATAAATCATTGTATTTTGGCGTTAATTTATGGGCCATTGTTATCGGTACTTCGCTTTGCGCAGATTAGAAGTTTTGCATTTATATTAATCTCACATTATTTTCGTTAATTGTAAGTCCTGGAAATTTATTGACACAGTACAAGAAATTTAAATCAAAATTTTATTTATTTTACCGTTATTTTATTTTATTATGTGTATTATTTTATTATATTATATGTGCTTATCTTAAGGTACGTTCTAATAAATTTAATAATATCAAAAAAGGAGCAGAAAAACACACTCAGATACAAAAATGTAAACTGTACCTGTCAAGTTTAAAGTGTTATATTTTTTTACTTTTAGCCTATTTATGTAATTTTTTAGTAAACTCTATATAAATATATTCAACTTTAATAAATAATAAAAAAAAAAAAAATATATAACTACAGTACGTCTGTCCGTTCTATAGCTACGGGGTATCCGTGAGAGGGGAAACGATATTCTCCATGTTTTTCGTAAAAAAATTAGACGACGCGTTCCATCAATAAAAATTCGACAAATTTGGAAGTAGCCAATTAAATGAGTGGGCGGAGCGATTTGCGGTGACGTACTCGTCAAGTCGACGTATAAGATATATCGTTGTTTATTTAAATGTTTTTTGTCCGCATTCCTTTCATAGACACAGATCCAACAGACGTACTGTACCTCCCCTGGCCGCTATAACTGTCGGTAGACGTAGGTTCCTACTGTTAATGAGGCTGCAAATATATTGTGTTATCTTTTCCCATTCTCCTTCAAGGACCAAGTGAATATTTTACATTTCATTTTTATTTCTAGGACAATCTTTTGCTGTACAATCATGCTAAGTTGATGGCAGATAACCAAAGCAAAGATTTTCTATTGTCTATGATGTTTTCTCACTACGACAAGAACAATGATGGTCATCTCGAAAAGCAAGAACTGGAACAGGTACTGTAAAAATATAATAAGTATACAGACAGTACGTCGGGCATCTGTAGTCTGTAGCTCCTAAAATAAAAAAAAACTTGGAAATCTTGTTTACATGCAAACCTAAAGTATATACTAAAACTGTACCGCTTAAAAAAACCTTAAAAAACTATTGTATATTTTCGAAAGTTGAGCTTTCACCCTCTTGAAGTTAAAATATTTTCTTGAAATAGATCTTAGTACATCCTTTAGATTTGCGCTTAAACAAAATTCTTAAGTTTTTTTATTCTATGAGCTACAGATGTCCGACGCACTATTTCTGAACCCTGTATAATCCTAAAGATGCATAACATTTAGATCTAATAATGATAATTATCTCTTTAACTTATTAAGATTATAATATTTAGGTACACTTTAATGAAACATTTTTTTTTTGAATTTGTAGGTTAGCAAAGAAGATCAAGATTTAACTAATGTCATCAATCTTACCAGCGGATGTTCACTGGCCAGTATGATTGACTTTGACGATACAGATGAAGATAAAAAACTAAACATAAACGAATTTTCTCTGGCTTTTAGTAAATTATATAGTAAGTCCATTTGATTTATTTCTGCTAATAATTTATACATCTGCCAAATGTTTCTTTAGGTGTTTCAGTCGTAACACTGGATAAAGCCCTCGAAATCAACCAAATCTCGGCACGTTTAGGAGATAACGTCGAGCTACACTGCGCCGTCACTGGTTCACCGATCCCACCCGTTCAGTGGCGCAGGCACGGGCAAGATTTAGCAGCTCTAGACCAAGACGACGTAAGGGTTTATGGTGACGGTAGTCTCTACCTAACCAAAGTTCAGCTACAACACGCGGGGAATTACACTTGCAGTGCTCAGAGAAATCCCCATGTAGTGCAAACTCACGTATTAACTGTTCATAGTAAGTATTATACAGGGTGGTCAGAACTGTATTCCAGAAACTTCGGCAGCATATTCTGCAGATAAAAATATGTAAAAAAAGTTCATATAAATGTATGTCCTAAAATGCTTAGTTTCAGAGATACAAGGTGTAGAAGTTTCGTTTTTATTATGATTTTTTCCAAATAATTTCAGAATTAACGTCCATATTTGGATGAAAATTGATGTCGGTAAGTTTTTTGACATGAGAAATTTGATTTTGATATCAATATGACTCCTATTTGTAGGGGGCGTCACTTACATGTGTTTTAACTGCTTTGAAGAGCAATAACTTTTCGTCCGTACCTGTATAAAACTACTAAGTGAAAAAATGTACATCTCCGTGATTTTCTACGTAAAAAATATATCTTGGTTAAAATCGCTACGAGCAACAAGTTCTCAAGATATTTAGAATAGAAATAGACAATACGTGGCATTATTGACAAAAAATAAACATGTTGAGTAGATAGTTATTTCACTGAAATTTGGAACATTTTTATTTTTTTAAATTAATCATAAATTTTTCTTCCAACAAATGGTGATAAAACAGTTTCTGTTGAACTTTTGGCACAAAAACATTTCAAATTTATGATTTCAGTCTAAGTCAACATGTTCAATTTATGTCAATAATGACAGGTATTGATATTTTCGATTCCAAATATCTCGAGAACCATTACTCGTAGCGATTTTTACAAAGAGACCTTTTTTACGTAAAAAACGTCGTAAATATATTTTTTTTTACTCAGTAGTTTTATATAAGTACAGACGAAAAGTTATTACTCTTCAAACCAGTTAAAAAATATATGGAGGCCCCCCCTACAAGTAGAAGTCATATTGATATTAAAATCAAATTTCTTATGTCAAAAAACTCCCAGACACCGATTTTCATTCAAATATTGACATTACTTCAGAAAATATTTGAAAAAAATCGAAATAAAAATGAAACTTCTACACCTGTATCTCCGAAACTAAGCATTTTTGGACATGCATTTATACGATTTTTTTTACTTATTTTTATCTGCAGAATATGCTGCCGAAGTTTCCGGAATACAATTCGGACCACCCTGTATAAAGAGTGTTTCTATCAAGTTTTTATACAGCATATACTAGTTCAATTTCAAAATTCAGAATATCTAAAATTAAAATAGGTTATTTGATATTCTTTTTCAAATTAATAATGACATTAACCGAGACTGTGGTCTTTAAATAACGTTTATTAAAAAACTATAACGGTATTAACTAAAGCACAATTTCTTTTAGCTGCTCCTGAAGTTCATGTAATGCCAAAAATTCAATCAAAACGACCCGGAGAGGATGCCCAAATGTTCTGTCATGTGTCTGGTGAGCCATTTCCACAAGTAAGTAAAATCCATTTAAATTAAAAAAATATAATATATACTTCGACTGATCCGTGTAATAATACAGGTAGCATTCATTCACCTGCGTGCATACTTCCAAAATACTATTTAGATGTAAGAAATTCCTTCCCTTCCTTCCTTCCCTTCCTTCCTTCCCTTCCCTTCCTTCCTTCCTTCCCTTCCCTTCCTTCCCTTCCTTCCTTCCTTCCCTTCCTTCCTCTCTTCTCTCTTCTCTCTTCTCTCTTCTCTCTTCTCTTCTCTCTTCTCTCTTCTCTCTTCTCTCTTCTCTCTTCTCTCTTCTCTCTCTCTTCTCTCTTCTCTCTTCTCTCTCTCTCTTCTCTTCTCTCTCTCTCTCTCTCTTCTCTCTTCTCTCTTCTCTCTTCTCTCTTCTCTCTTCTCTCTTCTCTTCTCCTCTCTAAGTAAACAATATTTTTTTAAAAAATCTTTCCGTCGTCACGCGTCGGAAGCAAAAACAAATTACTATTATTTTATTTTGTAGATTTTCTTGCAGTGGCCAAATACCCATATAGGATTTTTTGGAGAATATTTTTTTTAATCCTATTAGAACTTAGAAAACACGGTATCATGTAGCAGAAATAGCATTATCGAACAGGCATTTTCGCAAATTGGCGTTAACAAACTATTTGAGAGCCTTACGTGAGCCATTAGCTCAAAAGAGTTGGCCATCGGCTCGGAAACTGCCTATATCGATTGCACAGCGACCCGTATTACGCGATTATAGCTGAACTACGCTCATTAGTTTCTCCATTTCCGTCGAACAACAAAAATACATCATTAAAACCTTTACTGTGATGCGATTTATTAACGACATAAAGAGCAGACCCGCGAGCGTATCGATTTATTTGTCATTTGCAAAGATTACGGTTTTAGCTTAACGAAATAAAATTAGGACTTTGTAATGTAGAACATGGTAAATATGACGAGGACGTATAAAATGAGGACGTGTTGTGACGACCTAGCAACTCCTTTTAATTAAAACATCAAGTTGTATGAAAAATATCTATTTATAAAATTATAAAATATGATATAAATGGAATGAGGAAATACCAATCTTTTTTATTTATGAGTATACAGAAAATATAGCTTATACTTACATGAATTTAATCATGACTCTGACTAACTGACTCACAGACTGCTACCATACTAACTACAAAACTAACTCACTAACTACAAGACTAACTGCGCTATCTTCTGTATACTCTTTTTTATCAGTTTTATAATCGCTGGTCATTGGCGATTATAAAGCTCCCAAAAGAGGCAAAAATGTATTGAAATATTATTGATTTATACCTTTACATCGCTTTATTTATATTCATTATTAAAGTGATTTTTAGTATATCATTCAAAACATAATAAATATAATAACTACATATAATAAAAACAACGTATTTTGATTTGATATATAGGTACAATGGTTAAAGAACGATGAGCAACTTAAAATTGACGAGACAAAAAAATTTCAAATAGTGGGAAACGGGACATCGCTGAGGATTAGAAAAATAGATTTTGCCGATACTGGAGCTTACATGTGCCAAGCTACCAACACAGGTACTTAATACGTAAAATAATAACCATTATTCACAAGTATTAAATAATCTGTTGCAGGAGGATTAACAAGAGATATTAGTTCTCTAGTGGTTCAAGACCAACCCACTGCACAAAGTAAGTGTATGTTTGTAATTAAAATTATTATTTTCCAATTTAACTAAAGATAAAAGTTACATATATTTATTTACGACGTTTTTACGTAAAAAATGTCTCTTGGTAAAAATCACTACGAGTAATGGTTCTCGAGATATTTGGAATCGAAATTATCAATACTTGTCATCATTGACATAAATTAAACATGTTGATTAAATAGTTATTAGACTGAAATCATAAATTTGAAATGTTTTTGTGCCAAATGTTCAATAGAAAGTGTTTTACCATCATTTTTTCGCAGAAAAATTTATGATATTTATACAGGTACGGACGAAAAGTTATTACTCTTAAAACAATTAAAACATATTATGTAAACAAATAAGAGTCATATTAACATCAAAATCAAATTTCTTATGTCAAAAAACTCCGTGACACCAATTTTCATCCAAATATTGATGTTACTTCAGAAATTAGCCTGAAAAAATCGAAATCAAAATGAAACTTCTACACCCTGTATCTTCGAAATTAAGCATTTTAAAACATACATTTATACGAACTTTTTTACTTAACCTAACCTAACCTAACCGAAGTTTCCGGAATACAGTTCGGACCATCCTGTATTTCTATAGTGTCATAGAACCCTTATAGCTTTACTACTTCCTATTTTTTTAAATATATTTTTTGTTTAATTTTTGAAATAACATAAATCTGTTGTATAGAAATAATTATTTTCTACTTAATATCGTAATATTTAAAACGGTTATTTACTTTTACGTAATATCATATGTTTTATTATTTTAATTTTACATACTTCATAAAAGCTCTAACGCATTCAGAAAAAAAAATAATAATTTTTAAAAGTAATAAATCATGTTCTGTTGCGTTTCGATCAGCGGGCGTTTTGACACTTTTTTGACAAATTTAAACTAACCTTAATAAAAATATAATAGTACAAGAGCTAGCAACGTCGGGAAAACGAAAACGAAATTTTGAGAAAGTTGCTTTAATATATCTTTAAAAAAAGTAAAGATTTGAGTTAACGTCTCCTTTTTGCTGCCAAGGCTAATCTGGACGGGGCCTACTTTGTTTACGCGGAATCCGAACCGCGGTCCTCGGCCATATCATAGTCAATGGCCTGCCGACTGGGCAAGTGTCTAAATCGACTCTTAATCACGAGATATCCGATCTCATCCGGCCTCGAACCGGCGTGAATGAGCAGTATGTGTCAATAGATTTTACACTTTTGCCTTTTTTTTTGGACAACAGCACGATACAGAGTTTCGAACCGGTCACCCGTCCATCCACCAGTATCGCCTTACGTCGCTTAACTTCGGTGTTTAATGGGAACCGGTGTTTCGACGCAGCAGTTTTCGCTCTCTTGATGCGATTTTCACATTAACTTGCTACTTTTTATGAACCTAAATATGCTACACATAGGTTTGTCCTAGTCTTCTTAGTTTCTGAAATACAGGGCGAATTTGTGATGCGCATTAGTGAACAGAGGTTGAACATAGATATAATACGTAGTAATGGACGCAACGTCTACCGGCCGCCAGACGTTCCACACTCTGTTCAGAAGAGCATAGCAAAAGATATATTAAAGAACCAGCTTTCTTAAAATTCCCTCTCGAAAAAACGTTGCTAGTTCTTAGACTATAAGTAAAACAGCAAAATCGTTATGGAAATGAAAATATAAAATGACACCAATCACAAGCAAATCTTATATCCGATAAACGGAGGCATGAAAATGTAATCAGTTTAAAAACAGCGTAATTTTCTAACCAATAAAATTAATATTGCATCATCGTATCGTCGGATAACGGATGCATGCAAATCAAGCTTCTCGTAACATTTTTTAATATTATACATGACGTATTTTTTTATAGGGTCATAGAATCTAGACCTTTATACTATTTTTTTCGTACCCCCTATTTCATAGGGAGACATTGATTTAATGGAGAATTAATAGTTAGAGATGAAAACGATTTTCAAGCTTACAAAAAAATTAACTAAAATAAAATCAATTTTTAGGTCCTACCAATGAAGAGCATAGATTTTTTGCATTTCACGAGTGGGGTATTTCAGTATATGAGCCCACGACTTGTAGGCTGCATCATCATATCTTAGGCACAGACATCATTCCAGGGACTCAGGTATGCATATTTAATGAAATAAAATTGTATATAAACTTCTCCTTTACTAACTGAAATCACTGTTTAAAAGCAACAGCATCAACGCTCGTAACATTGTAATATTTTGTTGTATATCATGTTTTTTTATGTTTGTCATCAAAAAAGTAAAACTAAAAAAAAGATACCAATAAATAATACAGGATGAGTCTGTAACAAATTGATATTTTTAATTGGCAAATTTTAATTTTTAAAAAAATAAAACAAAATTTGGAATTTTTTGAAAAAAAAAATGGATATTTTTAAGCTTTAGTTAACAAAATAATATCTTGATAATATGGCAACATAGGTAGTATCTTAAATTTACAAGAAAGAAAACCCAAGAAAGTTCCAGTGGTTCTCAAAATTTAAGATAAAAAAATATATTTTTTTACAAATAAATCCAAAATAACTCGGTTATTTTAGACTTATTTGAAAAACAACACAATTTCAGCAAATGCTCATTTTTAAAATGTTCATACTGTAGGACTATGTATGTGGCAGTCAAGGAATCCAATGCTCATGGGGCAGAGCTGTATCAATTTCCAATCGTTACATCTACGCTTCTCAGCCTAATCTAGATCGCATTTTGGTGGTGTCCACCGTTCAAATGGCAGTGGTTGATGTAGTGGGCACGGACAAAGTACCCGTCGAACTAGAGAAAGTGCTTCATTTAGATCAATTGTGGCTCCTCAGCTGGAGAAACAAGAGTGATACTGGAATTAAAACAGTACAGGTAAAATAAAACAAAATATTAACCAGAGTACTTATAAAAAATAATGGCAAACAATATTACTATGGTCTTCTGCTCTCTATATATTATAAATAAACTTTTAGTCACGTGATTAAGCTTGAGCGGCACAGCGTTGCCCACTTTTACATATTTTCTTTTAAACAAAATATTTTAGAAAACAAAAATAAATTAATTATAAATATATAAACAGTTATTATTTACATCTACAAAACTCACCTTCTTAACAGCACTTAAGGGACATAAAGGGTCAATACTACCGTTTTCCCGTTCAAAATTTTCTAATAAATAATGGAAAATAAATTTATTGCAGTTTCTAGGTATATAATAAAATAATATAAGAGTTTCTTGCCTTGAACTGCTAATATAGAAATTAATTCCACGCTGTGTTCGACATAATGTGGATCAACCTGCTCTCACTACCGGTCTCGGGGCCCTACCCCATCATCAGGTGAGCTTGGGTATTTCCACAATATGTCGAGCACAGCGCAGAGTATATAAACACGACTTGTCGTAAATGCCGCGATGCGGGACTTAATATCTTACCGCTACTTTACGACAAGTCGTGTTTATATACTCTGCGCTGTGCTCGACATATTGTGGAAATACCCAAGCTCACCTGATGATGGGGTAGGGCCCCGAGACCGGTAGTGAGAGCAGGTTGATCCACATTATGTCGAACACAGCGTGGAATTAATTTCTATATTAGCAGTTCAAGGTTATGTGATAAAAATTTGAGTTTTTAAATTATCGCGATTATTAATGTTTTCTCGTTATAATTTTTTTTTTCTATTTCAAATACTCAGAAACATATCTTAAGCGGCCCATACATTATCAAACAAATTGCGCAACACAGACTGTTGCTCAACGAGTTGCCAATGTATGGTAACGTTTGATGCGTTGCGCAATTGTTTGATAAGTTTCAAGAATGTTTGAATTCTTTTGTGCAACAGGCGTTTGCGCATCGCGTTGTGTAGTGTATGTGTGTATTGCGCTTCGTTGTGCAATATTTTAGTTCTTTTAGTTCCTTCATCCAAATTCCTTGTTTTCTTTTTCGTTTTTTGGTATCATGGACATCACCTAGGGTATATACGATAATAATTGACGCAATGGCAAATGAGGACATGACTGTTTCTCAAACAATGCGCTTTAATAAAAATTTTGACCAAAATTTTACTAAGTGCATGAGTGATGCAGTTGTGCAACGGAACGTTGCGCATCGCTTTGTTGGGCAACTTGTTTGATAGTGTATGGAACGCTGAATCAGTTATGCAACGCAACGTTGCGCATCGCTTTGTTGCGCAATTTGTTTAATAATGTATGGGCGGCTTAATGATTTTATCTAGTTATCTTTTCAAAAAAAAAGTCTTTTAAAAATAAGCGGTTTACGATCGTGATTTTAATTTACTTGAAAGGGAAACGCGTATCGGAGAAATATGGCAACGCCGCAACAGCACACCGTCGCATTTCTCTCACTCCGACTTAATAAGATCCCTATGCGATTTACTTCCACACATATAAATACCGACCCAAAAGTAAGAGTTAGGAAAGAAAGTTTTTAAAAAAAAAGAACTTTTTAGAAAGTCCTTGTTAGAAAAAACGAAAGAAAGTTTTTTAGAAAGTCTTTGTTAGAAAAAAATGTATTCAAATAAATATGATGTTTTATGAAAATGTAAAATTATTTTAGATAATCAGGGATGCTGGGCAAAAGAGAAAACATCACACGGTCCATCCCGAACCCATTGACGGTCAGTTCGACATGGTTACTGGACTGTTTTTACCTTCCCCTTTCCAGGTATTTTTATTCGATATTTACAATAATTATCAAAATTTCAGATAAATAATACATCAGTTTATGTAAGAAATACCATTTTGTGTTTTAATTTTTACAAATTTAAATTTTTATTCAAAGTTTCTCTTTATTTCTAGGAAATATCACACTACACTTTTAAATATGGATATGTGACACATACCAATCAAAGAGGATTATACAAATTAGACTTAGAAAACCTGAGATACACAAGATCAGTAGACTTAGCACCCTACAATTGCGTACCTGAAGAAATACAGTTCTCCGCGCTGTGTAAGTTTCTATTCTTCTGTATTATCTAACAAACGATCTGAAACAGCGAAAAGAATGCGGTAACAAAAAATCGATGTTGCCAAGTTTAATTATATAATAGTAAAATTCCTCGATATTACCTAAGCATTTAATGTATTTTAATTTAATTTTAAGTTTAGTTCATTCCAGCATACCTAATAATATATATGCTAAGATATTTTAACGTAGTCCTTGTTATTAGATATATACATAAATATATTTATTTAATTAATTGGATATGCTTCATTCTGCCTATTATAAAAGTTAAATATTTCCTAAAGATATCATCTGCTTCGCGCAAGCCGGCAACGCTGAATGATAGAGATCCTCGTTCGTGTCATTGCCAGGTGGTAGCCATGCGCATAACGTTTTCCCAATGGCCAGGCTACATTATGCCCCTCCCCTGAAAGAGTGGAAATATTGACTAGTATTGACTAGTATAAATGATGACGAATAATGACTAATAATGAAAAAAAAATTAGTAAAATATTTTTAGAGATAACAAACTATTTGAAATAAAAACAAAAAAACGTAAATTCCATTAAATTGAATGTGCATTTACTGATAAAGTTGATAAATTTGTTGTGAAAAAAAAAAACCAAATTATTTCAGAATCTAAAAATATTTTACTAACATTTTTTTCATTATTTGTCATCAAAATAATTTTCCAAGTTTATGCGTATGGGATAAGAATCACCCTGTATCCAGTGGCGGTATTATTATATTGTATGCTATACCTTTAACTTAAATTGTGTAGATTATAATTGGTACACGCTTTCAAACAAATATTTCTATATTTAGGAGATCACTTAACAGAATCTAGATACATTTAAAGTCCTAATTAGAATATTATAAAGTTTACTGGAAAATATTACAGAAATTCCTGATATATTTTCATAAAGCACCGCATGCCTATGGATATTTTATGAATTACATCTTAGCCATGTTTTTAAAAAACTGTATTCCCCTTACCTTTGCCTCGTTCTTTCAGATCCGTTTGTCAGACTGTATTGACTATTATTAATATACTTGTTTTAACAATAATTTAAAGATGAATTTAGAAATAATATGTTAACAGGTTGATATTGACGTTTTATTCAATATAAACGAACAATAATTATTTTAGATGGATTTGTATTTATGGAATGTCGTGAACCGATAACCAAAAAGCCCACAGGTCAACTCATACTGGACTACTTAACAGACGCTGTTATTTCAACGGTACCAACCCTATTTGGCAAACCCTACCTATCACCTGATTCCCGTAAGCTGGTTACTTTCGATAGAGCAAAAGCTGGAGCAACGTTAATAGTACAAGAGATTACAGGTAATAATATTCTGAAATGGGTAACTAAATGGGCAATATACACTGGATGATCCATTAAAAACAACGTCACATTAGGCATAGAAGTAACCACGAATTCTTTTTAACCGGTCTAGTTAAGCCACAATATAAGAAATATAAAGTATTTTTTTTTTTACTGTAATGTCAAAGTTTAAAAGCTGTCAGTTGGCAACTGTTATTAAGGTTATTGTCAACCTTCAGCGATAGACACAGTAGATCTCGAACACAAATTTTGGTTTTACATCTACTGTAAGGCCATTTTCAGGCGATCACAGTGTAGTTACATCCAAAGGTGGTTAAAAAACTGTTATTTCTTATTAGCCATTGAGACATACTGTTATTTAAAAATAACAGCTTAAGGTAAGAAATAACAATTATGTTTTTATATAATTATGTTGTGAAGACGACATTTAAAAATATAAAAAAGAGAAATATTTTGATATAACAGTTACGACAGATAGGATCTTCGTTATCTGTTATTTTCTAATTGTTTATGAACAAACATATATACTCTTTGTAGAAAACTGCCCTACAATACCCTTATAATAATAATAATAATGACCAAAAAGAAATAAAAGGATAAATTAATATGTCCTTAAGCCACACAAGTTACAATTTTATGACAAAACTGCTGACTGTTGTTTAAGTTTTCGAAATCAAAAAATAATAACAACTCAAGAAGTTAGATAAAATTTAGTGGCTTGGCGATCCCGGCTTCAGATCGACAGATATAAATGTCAAGGCACTGATATTTTCAAAGCTGTTATTTCTTGAAAGTAACAACTGGTGCATATCTAGTAAGACTAGCGTAGGGCCAGAATTCCAATGTTCGCGGAGTGTTATTTTCGGAACTAACAGCTATTGTGTACTGTTATGTCTAAATAACAGATACATAAATAACAATTCGACCTTAATTACATAAAAGTTTTAAACAATTCAGGGTCAAAAATGCCATCAAAGTATTTAAAATAAAATAGAGGTTTAAATACTATTTCCATGATTTATATTTAAATATATCATTTTTTTCCCAGGCATAGACCAAACCTAACCAGGATCATTAGCCATATTTTATTTATACTTACTAAAATAACATATTTTCATGAGGCAAAAACTTTTCTAAAGCTGTATAGGGTTATAGTTTTCCTAAATTATCAGTAAACTCTAATATAACAATATCTCTCATAAAACTATCACTATAAAATTTAACTATTTTAGTAAACTAAGTATTAAATGTTGTAGAACCTAGTCTAATTCATATTTTTTACAGCACATGGACTGGAATTTTCGTTTGATGTGAAAACAACTTTGAACATCTCTGATATTGCATTCTATCCAAGTCAGACAACACACAGTTATGATTTGTACGCCAGCAGTCAGAATAAGGAGGACTTACTATTTGTTAATTTAAATACTGGTAAACATTTTTCTCCCTAACAATACTACACTATATCTAATTATAGACCTGTTTAAGTGTTTAAAAACAACCTCTTGATCATCAATTACATCTTAAAGACAAATTTATTTATCTAATTTATTTGTATTTAAAGGTAAAGTGGAAATAATAACAGGAGTAGGCGTGGCCTCACCCCTCTCCCAGTGGGGTAACCCCGCCCGACCAATCACGACCGCTGGACGATTTGGCACGTTCCTGGCCACGCCCAGCGACCACGCCCTCTTCGTAATAAACGGTCATTCACGAACAGTTAATTGTGAAATCAGTGCCGTAACCAAGCCGTCTCAAATTGTGTGGATCACTCAGAAGTATCACTAGAAAAATATAGATTTATTATAATACAATATCAAGAAAAAATGTTATTATTCGTTTGCTTTTTAAGTGTATTCCCATTTAGAAATAGAAGTAGAAAAGTGTATTGATTCCATGGAGACATGAAAGTCGGTCAAGTATAATTTACTAAAACTACGCTAGTGTACCTACTGTATAACTGAATAGAAACTACGTTATAGAGCAGGTGTAGAGATCTCCAAGGTGATAACAGTCATAATAGTGACAAACAGTGATTAAATTTCGTTCAAATTAAAATGTTATTTTTACACCTACTATGACGTTTTTTTCAGTTATATATTATTATTATGTATTAAGTATATAAATACCTATATACTTGGTGATAATATATAATATATTTTTACTTGGTGATATGTATGTAGCTATACAGGGTCGCTGATATGTATGGGAACGGTCGATTATTAGGTAAAATATAAGGTTGAGGTTAGAGGTGTGTAGTTCGTGAATAACTAGTTCCAATGAACTATTCGGACCACGGAATGAAAGGAACTAGTTTCTGGTTTCTAAAAGAACTAGTTCCTCAGGACCTATTCCGAGATCGAGACTGTGACCGATATAATAATATGCGACGGCGACGGACCGGCCAGCGCGCGTAGCCCGATGCTAGACAGAAGTGGGAAGTGGGGCCTTTGGTGCGGCAGTGCCACAGATTACAGATAACATACAAATTAAATAAAAGACTAGTTTACGTACGGATCGGCCAGCGCGATTCATGCTAGGCAGGAGTGGGGGTACCAGCCGTATGTTATCGGATCCGGACCTAAAGGAACTAGAGGAACTAAATAAAAGACTAGTTTACGTACGGATCGGCCAGCGCTATTGACGCTAGGCAGACGTGGGGAGTGCCAACCGTATGTTATCGGATCCGGACCTAGAGGAACTAATTAAAAGACTAGTTCACGGAAATCTATATTCAGTCGACAGATCCTAGATATAATACAAGGCGACGACGATGGATTCGGCCTTGTCTATTGCCACAGCCGGCGTAATTACCAGAAAAAATTGTTGTGGATACTGTTTTTGATTTTTAGTTTGTTCATATATATAATATTTTATGGGAATGTTTCACTTTAGGTCCCTAAAATAGAACAAAAACAAAAAGCTTGAAGTGAGGAAAAATGCAATTTTTCGTAAAATTTGCTCCAATTGATTTGTGATATAGTTTTTAAACTCTGATTTGAGTTTTTTTTAAATTTTTTTATCTGCAATAAAACTTACCTATATGTTTTAACATACACAATTACACGACTCATTATACTTCGTACATTATAAAAATTATACAGATCATACTGTGAATAGTTCTGACTGACAACGAAACCCATTAGTAAGCAACGGGGATGCCAATGTTAGTCGGGAACCATTGTGAACTAAAGACCTAGTTCAAGGAACTATTCCTCTGGAGGAACTAGAACTAAGGAACTAGTTCCTCCCAAGGAACTAGAATTCCACCTCTATAAAAGATACCGCAAAAAAGTTAAATATAAAAGTTATCGGGTTTTTAAAATCTATTAGCGGGTAATAAATCTAAGTATACAGGATCGGTCATAAAGTCGTGGCACATCAAAGTTTCATTTTTTTAAATAGAACCCCCTGTATATTATTGCATATTTCGGTTCTTCCTTCAATTCTAAGCAAAAGTCGAAATTACACAATATACCTCAAACCAACCGTTTCCGAGTTATTGACATTTACAAATATCACTTAAACAATTCGATTTAATTAATTTCGATGTGTTCGGTTTCATTTAACGATGCCGTTCTGCGGAAGCTGTGAGACATAATAATAATATTAAGAGAATAATAATATTTGACATTAATTTTCAAGTTAGCATTTATAAATGTATAAACTGAGATTATATCAAGTCTGGAAATTACAAAATTATCATTTAACATTTCAAAATCAAAACTTCATAATTCGAAAATTGTTGAATTTATGAAGTTTTGATTTTGATATTATGTTAAAGGAAAAAATTTTGTAATTTCTAGACTTGATATAATCTCATTTTATACATCTATAAATACTAACTTGAAAACTAATGTCAAATATTATTACGTATTACAGTTTCCGCAGAATGACATGGTTAAATGAAACCGAACACATCGAAATTAATTAAATCGAATTGTTTAAGTGATATTTTCAAAAGTCAATAACTCGGAAACGGTTGGTTTGAGGTACATTGTGTGTATCTCAATTTTTCTATTATATCGGAGTTCTATTTAAAAAAATAAAACTTTGATGTGCCACGACTTTATGACTTACCCTGTATACTTAAATTTATTACCCGCTAATAGATATTTAAAAACCCTATAACCTTCACATTTAACTTTTGCGGTACCTCTTATATTTTACCTAATAATTAATAATCGACCGTTCCCATACATATCAACGACCCTGTATAATAGAATATTAATTAAGAACGAGATTAAAAAGTACTGGGTCTTCCATGGTCATCAACTTAGAGTAGTGGTATTTTCTTTTCAAATACTATACAAAAAAAACTTGCTCACTGAAAATCAGACCTTATTCACCAATAAATATACCTGTAAATCCAAAAATAAAAGTACCTAACAAGTTAAAAAAGTGAAAAAATATGATAATTATTATGAAGTGGAATTTATTTTAAGATATCGCTTCAAATAAACGCAAAAGAAATTTTTGTATTCTTCCGAATATCTTCATAAGAATTTGGATATTTTTAATCTGTAAAACATATAATGTTTATTCTTCAATATAGGACACCCTGTATCATAATACAGAAGATATCACTACTAAACAAACACTTTATAAAAATCCCTAATGTCACAGTTTTTTTGCAGAAGCTTGTGCGTGTAACTACCATAAAATCGTTGATTGAAGAAATACGAAGATACGCAACCTTATGGGCGACTTTGTGTCACAAAACCTGTCTGAGATGTAGCTGGCGTTACCGTCAGCCTGTCCGAGATTAATTTAACTCCGCGTTGCTGCGCGTTGATAGTCATTTACAGCGCAGCGAATAAAGAATACTGTACCGTAGTTCTGCTTTTAGTCGACAGAGTGAGTGGTTGCCGGGGACAATGTTGCCAAAATTACTGATTAATCAGTAGATTTACGGATTTTGGATACAGTACGCTAATAATACGGATTTTTGATCATTAAACAATTTAATATAATATTATATGATTAAACAAAGAACGGCGTCAGAGTTGGCTTGGAAATGAAGATTGCTGTTATTTCATATGTAAAATATTATGGTAAATGTCAATAATCGTCATTTCCAAGTCAACTAAACGACTTTTTTCGATCGTACGACATATTCAGTACCTGTAAAAGAATTTTTATTTTTGTTGTTTATTCTATGTTTGACACTAATAAATTTTCAATGCATAAACGAGTATTTTTCATCCAAACATATTTTTGTGAAACGTATTAGAGATCTTACTTACCTTTTAATATGGCAACACTGTCGCTTTCAGTTCCACACCGTCTTCGATATGCCTTCGCTGGCAGAATTAAAGAAGATAAGTGTTTTATGCGTTGGCCGCAGAACGATTGGTGTCTCCACCGTACAGCACTTGAGACGTAAGGGGAAATCAAATTAACCTTGTCACGAATTCGCCCATTAGGTTGCGAATCTTCCCAATTCTTTCAGTCAACGATACAATTTAAATGCTGTTGATATATATGGTGAGGGCAGTAACAAAGCTTATGTATCCAAAAAAGCTATTAAATTTTTGTATATAAATGAATAAATAGATATGTAACAATAAAAGATAAGAAGTAGAAGTTTATGTAACTTTTTGGATTGCATAAAGAAGGATATAATGTATTTAATAAAAAATTCAGTATTTTAAAAATATATTATTTTTAAAATAATAAAATAAATATGTAACAATAAGAGATAAGATGTAGAAGTTTATGTAATTTTTCAGATTGCAAAAATGAAGGTAATGTATTTAAAAAAAATCAGTATTTTTTAAAAATATATTTTTAAGATTAATATTAAGTTTTATTTTTTGCCATTAACTACTTGTGTAAGAATATTATCACACACTCATTTATATGTATGTAATTAAATTTAATAAATAAGTTTTAAATGAACAAAATTAAAATATGTTACCATTTAATTTAAAATTAATCCTAATCTTATAAAATAATAGTTGATAAAGTTGCTTAAAATATCATATCGACTTTGGTCATATATACTTACAAGGTGATCCAAAAACGCTCCATATATTAACTCTCATATGCAGTGTTATTCCCCACATACGATACGGAGTATAATAGGTAAACGATTAGATTTTTGCAAATTGTAAATTTTGGGTTCGTTGAATGACTATTAGAGCAACAATTTAAAAATATTTTTACAAGATACAGAGTGTCCCAAATAAATAAAAAATATTATATATTATTACATTTTGAGTTTCAACGATTAAAATAAAGGTAAATTTGATTAAGGTTTACCGCATTTTAATCTTACCGTTTTTTGAAATACTTAAGTTTTTAAAACCAAATATTGTACTGAAGTATTTCTATTTACTAAATTTTGTGTTGCAATAATAAAAATTATACTACCTTATACTGAGTGTTTAAAAAAGTATTTTAAATAATTACTAACTTTAAACGGCAATAACTTGTTTAATTTAAATGGAACACCCTGTATATTTTATGAGAATCAGATGCAAAATTTAATTGTCTATCAAATTGTATTATACCATTTTTTACCTATCTTTTCAAGTTTTTGTAAAAAATTGCATTTTCTTATAATTTAAACCTCATTTATAAATATATCCATGGAATATTGACATTTTAGATTATTTTTAAAGATATTGTACATATAGTTCCGTTTATTTCATTAAAAAAAATTAAAAACTGTTTAAATATTTGTTAAAGAGGACCAATTAATATGATTCCTGTATTCAAACTATATCATTTGACTGTATGCGTTGATTAATAATAATTGCTCCAAATACTAAAAAACTAAATTTTGTCTGTGTATTAGACAATGTGGTGAAAAGTAACACCTTAAAATTTTTATTTCATTTTTTGACGAATACTTTTATAACAGAGAGGTTCATTTTCATAACATATTATCATATTGATTTCTGATTCAAATCCACATTTATTTAGAATAGTTTATTAAGTAACACAATTAAGTATGTAATTAATTTTTGGGCGGAAATAATGGTATACTGTTTTAAAAGATATCCATAAAGATTTAAATAGCTTTTGTATACAAATATGGACTAGTAATACTATAGTTTG